CGAACACACACACACACACACACACACACACACACACACACACACACACACACGCTTTCAGAGATGCTAAGCATAATCCCAGTGGAAATCGATAGGAGCTACAGGTGCCCTTGCCTGAGGTTCCTAATCCCTTAGTGTCGAGAAGCACAGTGATGTTATATTTTAACATACTGTTTTGCACTGAACGGCTGATACAGCCTGATGACAAATGACACCTGAGTGGAATACAGGCAAGACTTTGACCCTAGTCATATTTAGCATGAATGTGAGCCCTCTGTGATGCAATTTACAAATCACTCTGGGCAGAATGCTTACCAATCTGTTTTCAAGGACTGGAAAAGTAAGAAAAAGTTCTATTTAATAGTTCTAGTTGCAGCAGCAAATGGAAAGTGTTATGCACAAGCCAGTTGAGGACAGTCAAGTGGACAGACCTTGGCAATATGAGGCCAAATGGTAATCAAAGTTATTTGATTTGCATTATTAAAATCCATAGTTTGAAGCATCTATTTAATCAAAGAGAGTGCTTCAATGACACCAAACTTGTTCTGATTCGCCTTCATATTTCAAAGTTAGCTACAACAAGGATTTTTATGAAAAATTTGCCAGGAAATAACTATTTATTTATTCATTCTCTATGCTCTTAGTTACTATGCAAGAAAGACGAATGAACTATTTACCATATACTACAGCAGAGCTGGGTTTTTTTTGTTCTTCCACCATGATGTTCTCCTAAATACAGATTATTTTCCTCAGCTATCTTTGTTAAGTAACCTTTACCCAGAGGAAGACTTCCAAGGGCAGCTAATTGTTTTTAAAAAATGGTCAAACTGAAAGGTTTTTTTAATTTGCGATTCAAGTGAACATTTGCTTTTGGAAGCCCTCTTGTGCACTTTGGTATGGCTTTAAAAATAAGAGCAATCAAAATTGTTTAACGTGAGTTCTGAGAAAGTTCAGCTAGCGTTACTGCACGGATACAATTGGAAATACAGCCGCATATTAAATTGAAAAAGGTAATGTTCAGTTTC